TACCAAATTGAACAAAATCCGTCCATGCATAACTGAGATCCGGGTCCGGAATGGTGAAAATGTGCGATTTGATGCATTTCGGCTTAAAATGGCCGCTATTCGGCTATCGTTAATCGGATCATGAAAAAAATGCATGTGCATATGTGCCATATAATGTGTGATGTATGAGTGAAGTTTGAACTTAATCGGTCCATGCATGTTCGAGATACAGGTGATCACGGACGCACAGACGCACAGACGGACGGACGGACGCACACAGGGCAAAACATAAGTCCCCGTTTTCGGACTGCGTCCGAACGGGGACTAATTACAGTCACTAACTTGTGAGCTTAATGAAAAACATTTAATAGATCTAACAAAGCGTGATATTTTTGTGAAACCTTACAACAACACCTTTATGTCCAGTCATTGTACTTAATATTAAAGACACGACCTTACCTTTATGCCCAGCACTTCTAGACACTCAATATTAAAGGCAGTCTTACACTCATGCCCAGTATTTGAAACACTCATTATTAAAGACACAGTCTTACATTCATGCCAAGTACTTCAAACACTCAATATTAAAGGCACAGTCTTACCCTCATGCCCAGTATTTGATACACTCAATATTAAAGGCAGTATTACACTCATGCTCAGTACTTGATACACTCAATATTAAAGGCACAGTCTTACCCTCATGCCCAGTATTTGATACACTCAATATTAAAGGCACAGTCTTACACTCATGCCCAGCACTTCTAGACACTCAATATTAAAGGCACAGTCTTACACTCATGCCCAGTATTTGAAACACTCATTATTAAAGACACAGTCTTACATTCATGCCAAGTACTTCAAACACTCAATATTAAAGGCACAGTCTTACCCTCATGCCCAGTATTTGATACACTCAATATTAAAGGCAGTCTTACACTCATGCTCAGTACTTGATACACTCAATATTAAAGGCACAGTCTTACCCTCATGCCCAGTATTTGAAACACTCAATATTAAAGGCACAGTCTTACCCTCATGCCCAGTATTTGAAACACTCAATATTAAAGGCACAGTCTTACCTTCATGCCCATTATTTGAAACACTCAATATTAAAGGCAGTCTTACACTCATGCCCAGTATTTGAAACACTCAATATTAAAGGCACAGTCTTACATTCATGCCCATTATTTGAAACACTCAATATTAAAGGCACAGTCTTACCCTCATGCCCAGTATTTGAAACACTCAATATTGAAGGCAGTCTTTGCCTCATGCCCAGTATTTGAAACACTCAATATTAAAGGCACAGTCTTACCCTCATGCCCAGTATTTGAAACACTCAATATTGAAGGCAGTCTTTGCCTCATGCCCAGTATTTGAAACACTCAATATTAAAGGCAGTCTTACCCTCACGACCAGTACTTAATATACTCAATAGTAAAGGCAGCCTTACCTTCATAAATTCCTCACTTTCATTTTTGAAAATTTCTAGCATCAAATATAGTTTAGTATTATTGTCAATTCTGTAAAACAAAATGACAAAATGCATTATGATTAAAAATGCACAAAATGATTAAAATGCACATACATTAGTGTGCTATGACCAGTTAAGGCATTTTGTGAGATATTTGAGATACAGCAGACACATGGATGGGCCACACACACATGTAAATCTAACAAGCAGCCTGTCGGCTGAGATAGCTCCGCTGTTAGCAATGCACATTTCAATTAAAGAACAGAAGATATCATTAGAAAATGAACAATATGCATAGTACATTGTATCAAAGCATCAGACTTGCTGTTCTCAACAAAAAGTGGAAAATATGACTTTTTACCAAAAACTACAAAAATATTCACTAAAATTAGAGAATTGAAGATATCATCACGAAATGAACAAATTTGAGAGAGATCCACATGTAGTAACTATATATGTAATATCAAAGTAATTGGACTTGCGGTTTTCAACAAGAAGTCGAAAATATCACTTTTTACCAAAAATGACAAAAATATTCACCAAAATTAGAGAATTGAAGATATCACTTTAAAAATGAACAAATCTGAGAAAGGTTCACATGTAGTACCTATATATGTAATATCAAAGCAATTGGACTTGCGGTTTTCAACAAGAAGTCGAAAATATCACTTTTTACCAAAAATGAAAAAAATATTCACCAAAATTAGAGAATTGAAGATATCATCATGAAATGAACAAATCTGAAAGAGGTCCACATGTAGTACCTATATATGAAATATCAAAGCAATTGGACATGCGCTTTTTAACAAGAAGTTGAAAATATCACTTTTTACCAAAATTGACAAAAATATTCACCAAAATTAGAGAATTGAAGATATCATCATGAAATGAACAAATCTAAGAGAGGTCTACCCAAGGTACATATACACCAAGTATCAAAGCATTCAGGCTTGTAGTTTTCAAGAAGAAGTCGAAAAAGTAAAACATTGACACGGACGACAACGGACAATCACTCATATGATAAGCTCCGCTCGACAAAGTCGACAGCGGAGCTAAAAAGATGAACAAGTCATATCCCTTGTGTACAATCCTCCTCCTATCTTTTTAAATGGGGTTTAAATTTCATCTTCTAAGCATTTTCAGATCAATGTAAAACTACACATATTTTCGTAGATTGTAGTATCAAGGAAGATTCCCCATTTAAAATATAGATATAAATTGACAGCCCTGACAGGAATTATGCTGCAGATCTGTATCCATACTCATGTGCCTGATCTGTTGGTCTGATAAGCACAGGCCTGTTGCAGATCTGATCAACATTAATTGTGTAAGACTACAAATTTAGATTCATTGTTGTCAACAACTAAACACGACCGTCCTCGGACGACCAGTTCAATGTATTGAGCTAACCAATCACATCTTATATTTGATACACTTATCGATAAATCACTAAACATTTTTGTGATCTTTGTCCTTCAAGCACAAATAATAAAGAAACAACAGGTCCTGTAATATCAAGCGACTGAAAACATCAATCGCTCCAAAAACAAATTGTTCTGTAATGCAATACCTTGAGCAAATTAAACAAAATGTGTACGGTACTCGTGTTCTACTATACTGTAAAATACTTTATTTTCGCTGGAATTTAATTTCGCTCAAGAGATTTTTTGGTGTTTTGTTTGGAATTTCTTTTCACTGATTTTTGACGAGTTGAATGTAAAATATAGTGAAAAAATTATATTGGCTGGATTTTATTTTCACTGAATCATTCCTTCAGCGAAAATAGCGAAAATTAATTCCTAGCGAAAATTAAGTATTTTACAGTACTATAAAAGACAAAGCACAAGCCTTTTCAGAGCCTAGTTTTATTTTCCAAAGTGGTGCCAACCACAGAGATGATTCAAACACACTTGCTGTGACGCATACATGATAAAACTATAAATATAACTGAAATAGCTTAAAATTCACACATTATTATGCAGATGAGCTCATTAATATGCATGGATGTCAACCAAAAACTAATCAAATCTGCGCATTGCCTCAGACAAGCTATATACCAAGTTTCATTGAAATCCGAACATTGGTTTTTGAGATATCGATGGAACAGACACACACACACACACACAGACAGACAGACAGACACACTAACTGCAAAGACTCCCTTTTTGTGCGTCGCACACAGGAGTCAAATATTGTTATAAATATTGTTTTCACACAGACCAGAGCCAAACAAAGCATGCAATTACTCATGTGCTTACTTCATATCAGCTTCATGGACCAAAACTAAACTCTCGTATTTTTCAAGCATAGCAGCTTCCAGCGGCGGAGTCTCCCCTTTGCTGTCGCTGTTTTCTGTGACTGACATCCCATCTTCTACAATAGCAGTTTCTCCACTCCCTTCAATATGATTGTCAGAAATGTCATGGGTAACTGAAAGATTATCATTGTCTTTTTGTAAAACATCTGCCTCATCTATATCCATAGCAACCGTATTTGCTGTCATGACAACATCCGTAGCTTCATCCACTGTGCCATTAGCAGTGGAAATGGTTTGTGCAATACTATCATCAAGGGAATCACTGTTAACTGTTTTTTGACTTTGTAAATTATCTACAAAGATCGATTCCTGATTCTGACTCACAGGTTTAACTTTTTCATCACAGTTTTCTACTGTTGGTGAGATTTGATCCTGCGACTGTGCAGCTCGATTTGCAAGTCGTTTCTTAACATTAAGAACATGAAGATCTAAAGAAGACACTGGATTTGCCAGCTGAGGCACAGAGTCTTCAATCACTGCAATCTGATCGGCCAGTTGCGTTTGATTGGCATCCAAAGGAGGAAACTGATTAGTTGATTTCACTGCATCCTGACCGATTGTCATGGCATCACCCCAGACAACCGCCTCCTCCATCACTACTTTCATTTCATTAAATTTAGTGAGTGAATCAACAGCCGGGCTAATTTTCCCACTCGGGGACTTCTTCTTTTTGTTCAATTTCTTTGTACGCTTTCCATTTATATGAATGACTTCAAAATCCTCCTCCTTTGCTTTGGTATCAATTCGAACACTTCGAAAAGTGTGCCCGAGCGATGTTGGTCTCTGGGGACGATTTTTTTTCTCTAGTGTATCATTATCAACAATATCAACAGTACTTTTAACTTCATCCACCATTTTTGCATCTTTAGTGGCAACCCAATCTCCGGCTCCCCTGGTTACAGAGCTGGAGGACGAATCGCCACTGTCTTGTCGATAATACTCAAGACTATGAATGCCTTGATCAGATTGGCCATCCTTGTAGGTGTACGAAGAGATATCACTGGGAGTACCGCAATCTTCAAGTATTCCACTCGTGTATGAACTCATTGACATTGTATCAATGCTATGATGAGATATCCTATCTTCTTCATCTTCTTTGGGCGGTTTTTTAGATGGCAGGTAACTCGTCAAGTCTAAGAACGGAACAGTCTGCAAGAAAATAAAAACCAGAAAAATAAGCTGACCCGATTATTTCATAAATATGATAAAGAAAACAGAATTCAGGTGATTTAGATTTCAGTCATCATGTTGAGATACCGTAACTTCCTACCAGGTCAAGGTCAAACGTCGCGAAATCCAAACCAGCTGTCAGAGTTTGCAAGAGCAGCAACCGCTGGTCGTCCCTCATGATAGAATGCCTGCAAAGAGCGGGTATAAGGTTTAATATGATGCAATTGCCCATATTCGGGCATGATACACAGCTGAATAAAGAAAAATAAAGATATTATTATCGCATCCACAGCTATGTGTGTATTGATTTCTGAAAACGACTTTATGAAATCAAACATCTGTGTTTTGTAAAACAATGTTAGTTCAATAAAACTAACATTATACATCAAAAACAATAGAATTTGCAATTACGTAAAACTGTATCAGCACTGATTTGAACATTCAAATTATCCCTTATATAGGGTAAACTACATCACCTGAATTGACAAGTTATTGATGTTGCACACTCAAACACTTTAGCGAGTGAGGGAAATAGAATGCGGTCACTGAACACAAATGTCGCACAACCAAATTTTACATTGCCATTTTGGGACATAATCTCTCATTAACCTTCGCTACATGTCAGTCAATACGATCGCTGTGCGGACTTCCCGCAAACAATTATTCTTTTAATAACCTTATATTACATTTATGAAGCTTTAAAGTGTATTATATTAGTCTGCATTGTGCTCTGTGTACTTACTCAACATAGTACTTCCGAACAACTTTGACATTTTCAGCAAAACATCGTAGATAACTTTCTATAAGATTTTCATTCAGTGCCATATATAACCATGCACGACCTGAAAAATAATAGATGTAAATAATACCTAGAAAAGATGTCTTTATAGTTTCATTTCAACCTCATGTTCCTACTTCATTTTTCAAGCTGTTTGAAGCACCTCACATTTCTAGCAAAGAAAGGTGTTTATAGCAAGGCACTTATATAGTACGACATACTGCCCAGCATAGTATGACATACTGCCCAGCATAGTATGACATACTGCCCACCATAGTATGACATACTGCCCACCATAGTATGACATACTTCCCTCTATAGTACGACATACTGCCCTCTATAGTACGACATACTGCCCACCATAGTACGACATACTGCCCACTATAGTACGACATACTGCCCTCTATAGTACGACATACTTCCCTCTATAGTACGACATACTTCCCTCTATTCTTGGGGATGGGCATCCAAGCATTTCCACCGCCTGGCAACCATCTTGGTGAAAACAAAAGCCAAAAACTCAGAAAACGGTACTTTGAGCTGGTTGTTGAGACTTCCCTTAACAAAACGTGTGCAACATATATACATTTAATTGTTCAGGATTACTTTAAAGTTGAGTTTGTATTGTTTTCTTGAATTTAGCTGTTATCATCGGCTCTTCGACCGCCGCTCCGCAGCAGCTTGCGCAGTCTTTTACAGTATGACACATACTGCCCTTTATAGTATGACAAACTGTTCTCTATAGTATGGCATACATTGTATTGTTTAGTTAGACTAGCGCAGTTGGGGCGATTAATTTGTTTTTGTAGTTTAAATAAAATTAAATAAATTGCGAAATGGAGGTGTAACTGTGAAATCACCCCGACTGGTTTATTCTGCATGGCCCTCTATCGACACTGCAGGAACCCGTCGATTTTTCAACAGGTAATTATGTTAATGAGTGTTCTAATTGACAATCATCTGAGCCAATCACAGCGTCTCTTCAACTGACCTCTGACCGAGAAGACATCGGCTGATTGTAGCAGTCAATATTTTTTTTAATTCTACGACTAGTAAGTTACTTTTTTACAATTGTGATGAATTAGAAACGCCGAGTACGACAAACTCGAATTTCAACGTGCCGCCATGTTGGGTCTGCAGTGTGACCTTTACCATGTTGACCTCATTATGCACGTATTTCCGCGCCCACCTCATTATAATATGTGCATCATGAATATTTAATAGCAATGAATTTCCTGCAGAATAAACCAGTCGGGGTGATTTCGCGCTAAC